CCTCCTCCCCCTCCTCCTCCCCCTCCTCCTCCTCCCCCTTCCCCTCCCCCTTCCCGTCCTCCTCGTCGTCGTCTTCCTCCTCATTCTCTTCCTCCTTATCCTCATCCTCCGTCCTTCACCTCCCTCTGTCTCCTCAGTTCACTCCCCATGTTTCTCCTCGTTTTGTTTCTTCCACCGTCCTTCTCACTCCTCCCCTCCGGACGCCCAGAGCAGTTTCGAGGGCCACCGATTACCTTCGAGCACCCTCGAGAATAATTGGATTACTCCAGAGCGGGGGTGAGGAGCACGGACGCTACATCCACGACGCTCAAGTTCGCCCAACGTTTAGTAAACACGAGGAGGAGGAGGACGAGGAGGAGGAGGACGAGGAGGAGGAGGAGGACGAGGACGAGGAGGAGGAGGAGGAACAGGAGGAGGAGGAGCAGGAGGAGGGGGGAGAGCAGGATAAGCCACAGGAGCGCTCGGCGCCCCCGCTCCCCATGTGGCACGTCGTGACCCAGATCGCCCTCCGCACAGCGCCGTGTCTCCTCCCCCGCCGCTCCCCCCCAGAGAGCAGCAACCGAGGCCACGACGCACACAGGCGACCGGCATTGTTTTTTTCGGTGCCCCTCTGTCTCTCTCTCTCTCTCTCTATTTCCCTCTCCCCTCTCTCTCTCTCTCTCTTTTTCCTCTCCCTCTCTCTGTATTGGTCTCTCAGCGTGTGCAGTGGGTGGGGGCGGGGGTCGAGTGGGTAACTGATCTCTCCTCGTCCCCCTTCTGCTCCCCCTCCTCCCTGCTCTCTCCTTCTTTCCCCCCTCCTCTTCCTTCCTCATCCTTCCTTCTTTTCCCCCTCCCATCGTTCCCCACATGGGGGAGGGGGAGGGAGGGGGGAGGGATGATTATGATGATGAAGTGGATGATGAAGTGGGTGATGAAGTGGATGATGATGCTGATGATGATGATGATGATGGTGGTGGTGGTGATGATGATGATGTTGTTGATGATTATGATGATGCTGCTGCTGCTGGTGGTGATCGTGGTGGTGATGATGATGATGATGATGATGATGATGATGATGATGATGATGGTGATGGTGATGGTGATGGTGATGGCGATGATGATGGTGATGGTGATAGTGATGGTGCGATGCTGATGCTGCCTGCGATGCTGATGCTTGATGCTGATGCTGAAGAGATGCTGCTGCATGCGCTGATGATGATGATGGTGATGGTGATGTGATGATGCTGGTGATGGTGAAGTGATGGTGATGGTGATGTGAAGGTTATGGTCATGGGATACAATGAATATGCAGATGATGGTGATGATGATGATGGAGAGAGAGGAGATGAGGGAGAGGGGAGGAGGAGCAGAGGAGCAGACGAGGAGGAGCAAGGAAGGAGGAAGAGCAGGAGTAGGAGGAGGAGCAGAGGAGGAGTGACGCGTGAGGCGGAGAGGAAGGATACGGAGAGGAGGAAGGAGGATGAAAGAGGAGGAGAAGAGGGAGGAGGGATAGGAGAATGAAGGGGAAAGGCCGGAGGAGGAGGGGGGTGATGATGATTGTGCTGATGATGATGATGATGATGATGATGATGATGATGATGATGATGATGATGATGATGATGATGATGATGATGATGATGATGATGATGATGACTGATGATGATGATGATGATGATGATGATGATGATGATGAGGAGGAGGAGGAGGAGGAGGAGGAGGAGGAGGAGGAAAGAGAGCCAGGAAGAAGGAGGAGGAGGGAGGAGGGACGATGGAGGAGGTTGGTTGGTTTGTTAGTTGGTGTCCTCCATGCGAGGTGGCATTGGTGGGGAGCGGGCACGGCCCCTTTAGCAAAGGGCTGTAGGGCCGAAGGACGGCGACTGCCGCGACCCCGCAGCGTCCGCTCAGAGGAGGGAAAAGCACCGCCTGCGGGGCTAGGGGAAGGGGAGGGGGAGGACAGGGGACGGACCGAGGAACGCCCGAATGATCCTGGCCCCACGTTTCTCTAAGGCCCACGCAGGAGGAGCCGCTCCTTGGCCCTGGAAGCGAACGCGGTTGAAAGGAGGGGACGGCCCGGGGAGGGGGGTGCCGAACGGCGACCCACTCCCACAGGAACCCCCGCCCGCACTCCCAGCCGCCTCGTGCCGACGCAGGACGCAGCTGCGAGACTGAGAGAACGGAGGGAGCGGGGGTCATCCCAGGAGGAGCAGAGATGTATGTCACTCGGCTCCTGGTGGCCTGGCCCAGAATGACGCCTCCTCCTTCCCTAAGAAGCTTGCCAGCGCGGCCGCCTCTGCGTAGCCAGCCTCCCCCAGTCGCGAGCTCAGTCTCGCCCTTGTGCTGGCCTCCCGCTCGGGCGGAGCGTCCGCTTGTCGAGCGCGCCAGTAGGCCTGCCGCATGGCCTCCGTCCGCTCGCACGCCGCGAGTACGTGGAAAGTGGGGCTGCGTGTGAGGACCCCGCAGCAGATGCAACGCTGGCGACGAGCCCAAGAACGCGCCCCACCGATGTGAGCGAGGCGGGCGAGGCGAAGGCGCAATCGGGCGAGCGGCCGCTCGCCCTACAGCTCTGCCCAGCTCAGGCCTGACGACAGGGCTCGGCGTAGATCCTGCCAGACCCCCCCACCCAGGGACATGTAAGATAGCGGTCGCGCGTGCTGGGCATGCTCCCGCATGAGGAGCCTGCGGCACCGCTCCTCTACTAGCTCCCTGACTTTGGCTTCGTGCGTTTCCAGACTGGACCTGGGAAAGCGCTCTCCCAGGCTGGCCAATCCGGCAGGCCCCAAGACTCGAGCAGCTGCAGAGGGGCGCGCGACCAAGTCCTTCGGGACACCAGATGGGCACGGATGAAGACCATTCTTTATACATCCGAATCCGGGAGCCTCCAAAGGCCTCCGCGTCGGGAGGCAACATCGAGCAATGCACGACTGGAGCCCGAAAAAGGTCCACCCTAGTTCCGCAACCGCTGGAGCGGCAGGTTTCCAAGGGGGTAGTCGAGGAAAGCCCTCGCCCAGGACAAGTAGGGTTCATCCAGCTTGAGAGCTGCCCCGTCCGCTATGGAAGGACGAGGGAGGACGGAAGGCGAAGGACGGAGGAGGAGGATGAGGAGGATCAGGAGGAGGAGGAGGAGGAGGGGGAGGAAAACGACGAGGACGAGGGCGAGGGCGAGGACGAGGACGAGGAGGACGGAGGAGGGAGGAAGGGGAGGCAGGAGGGGGAGGAGGAGGAGGAGGAGGAGGAGGAGGAGGAGGAGGAGGAGGAGGAGGAGGAGGAGGAGGAGGAGGAGGAGGAAGAGGAGGAGGAGGAGGTGGGTCGTGGGACGCGGGGCCAGGCCTCCAGAGGCGCCGGAGGGTAATCCCAAAAAACACTGGAGCTGCTCTCCGTGCTAAGGGGAAGGAGCGACCCCCGCCACCGAGAATCCAGCGGGGGGGGGGCACCCCCGGGCGGCGGCTCGTCCGAGCTTTGTCCTGGACCGGGAGACGAGCGGGCGCGCCACCGCCCAGGGGTTGGCCTCCCCCGAAGGGCTCCAGGTCGCGGTCGTTCCCGCTTGTCTTCTTCAGGAGGGGCAAAAAACACACACAGACACAATTAATCGTCGATTCTCAGGAAAATATGGGAAAATATGGGAAGTCAGAGATCCAGAAAATATGGAAAAGCATGGGGAATATGGTTATTTGTGTGTATTTATTTGTGTGTCCCAGGGCCCCTTCACTTCTGGCGTGCCAGGTGTCTGCCTCCCTTGGGGTCATCCTCGGGCACTCCTGGGGGGTGGGGGGGTCCTCCGCTGAGGCGGGCAAGACGTGCGTCCACATCCACTGCGGCTTGGAGATTCGGGCTCCCTTCCCCAGAGACCCGAGGCGCACTGGACATGGGCAAAAGTCTGGCCCCCAGAGGCTCGACGTTTATCCATATCCAGGTGCGCCTCGGCCTTGCGGCGGCTTTTCAAAGAAAATCCAAGACGCACTGGATACGGATATGAACATTACCCGCACGCTGAGGCGCCCTGCGGCGAAACACGAGGATACCCCAGAGACTGGGCGGAGGGCTCCTGGGCCCTGGGGCGCGGAGCAGTCGCGGTCGCGGGCCCCCCGGGGGGGCCGGGGGAGGACATCCGCGGGCGGCGGCCCGCGGCGAAGAGCAGGGGTGCCCCAGGGGTTGGCTCGAGGGCTCCTGGGCCCCAGGGGCGTGGGGCAGTCACGGCGTCGGGGGCACGGGAAAGAGGGAGGAGGGGAGGGAGGAGGGGAGGGAGGAGGGGAGGGAGGAGGGGAGGGAGGAGGGGAGGGAGGAGGAGGAGGGGAGGAGGGGAGGGAGGAGGAGGAGGAGCGCAGGGCGAGGCGGAGGGTGAGGGGAGAGAGGGCGGGGGCAGAGAGGTAAGAGGGGGGGCCGGGGGGGGGGGGAGTAAGGCGAGGCGGGGGGCGAGAGGGGGGGTGAAGGGGGAGGGAGGGGGGCGGAGGGGCGAGAGGGGGGAGGAGGAAGGCAGGGCGAGGCGGAGGGGATTTGGGAGGGGCGGGGGCAGCAGAACAAGACGCCGCGGCCAGACCTCGCCCTGCGCGCGCGCCAGCGCGGCGTGGGCGTGCGCGTGGTCCACAACGCCTCGGTGATGAACGCCATCGCCGCGTGTGGCCTCCAGCTCTACCGCTTCGGGGAGACGGTCCTGCGGCAGGCGAAAAAAGCATTTGCATCAGCAGACGTGCGTGCCTTCGGAGGGGGCGCCCTTTGGGGGCCCGCATCGGGACGCCCAGGGGCAGGCTTGGGCGCGTGCCTCGGCTGAGGCAGCTCTACCGCTTCGGGGAGACAGTCCTGCGGCAGGCGAAACAAGCACTTGCATTACAGTGGGGGCGCGTGTGCCAAGAGACCAGTTGGATGTTGCCAGGGTGCCCTGGGTTGCTTGGACTTCGATGGGTCCCCAATATGATCTGGACCATTTTCGATGGACGAATTTGGATTTTCACGGAACAAACCGCGGATTTCAGGGTTGGGTTTCTTGCGGAGGTTTCTTGTGGCCGAGCCCCCACTGTAGCAGACGTGCGTGCCTTTGGAGGGGGCGCCCTTGGGGGCCCGCATCGGGACGCCCAGGGACAGGCTTGGGCGCGCGCCGCGGCTGGGGCAGTTGCTGCGCGCGGCGCCTCGCTGGGGGGCACGCCGCCTTGGGGGGACCTCGCGGGCCCTCCCAGGGGTCGGTGCTTGGGCTCACCAGTCCAGGCGCAGCACGGTGCGCAGAGAGCGCGAGCCCCCCACCCGCAAGGGGCTCGAAGTCGGAAGTCCTCACTGATTTGCGCAAGGGAGTGGGCCCACACAAAAGGCCTGCCCGACAGGTTGATGCCGCCCTCCTTGTTCACAATCGTCTGGGCCGAGCGGTAGGGAGGCCTGTGATCGAGACCACCCGCGTTTCGACTCCCAAATCCGAGGCGCCGCGATCGTCCAAGTCCCGCGCGGCTGTCCTCGCCGAAAGTGTTCCCGAGGTGCCGCCGTCGCACGAAGTTTCGAATGGCTGCCCTCGCCGAGCGAATTTGCCAGAAGGAAGCTGCTAACAGGTAGTCGCCTCTTCTGGCAGGCCAAGGAGCCTCAAGTTGTGCCGCGTGGGCACGCGCCCACGCGCCTGGGCGGTCTCGCTGCAGGCGTCATCTTGGCAGAAGCCGTCATCCTCTTCAGAGTTTCAGTCTTATCGCTCTGGCTCTCGCTGTCCATCTCCATCCCTCCCTCGCTTCCCCCGCCTTCCTCGCCTCCTCTCGTATCTCCCCTCCTCCCCTCCTCCCTTTCCTCCCTCCTCACCTTCCCCCTCCCCTCCCTCCCCACCTTCCTCGCCTCTGACCCTTACCCCCGCCGGAGGAGCAAGGAAGGAGAGACAGGGGAATCCCCCCCATCCCTCCCTTCCCTGCCACGCCGCTCCCTGGGCAGCGAGGGGCCCCCCAGGTGCGTCGACTTCCCAGTTCTGCCCCCCCCGCCCCCCCGGTTCTCTCAAGGGCGGGGGATGAGAGCAGTGTGGCCGAGGCGAGGCGGAGACGAGGCGGAGGAGGCGGCGGCGCAGGGGCAGGGAGAGAGCGATGATGAGGAGGCGGAGGAGGATGAGTACGTAGGAGGAGGTTGAGCAGGATTGTAGAATCTGATGGTGGCGACACGGATGGTGGTAATGATGATGATGATGATGATGATGATGATGATGATGATGATGATGATGATGATGGTGATGATGATGATGATGGTGATGATGACGATGATGTTGTTGATGATGATGCTGATGTTGATGCCAATGATGAACATAACGTGCATGATGATGCTGATGATGCTGATGCTTATGCTGATGAGTACGATGATGGTGATGCTGGTGATGCTGATGATGATGTTGATGATGACCATGATACGCATGCTGATGACGATGATGCCGATTATTGTTATGATGATGGTGATGATGCTGATGGAGATGATGATGATGCTGATGATGATGATGATAATGATGATGCTGATGATGATGATAATGACGACGATGGTGATGATGATGTCGATGATGATGGTGATGATGATGATGGTGATCATGGTGATGATGATGATGATGCTGATGATGATGATGATGATGCTGATGCTGATGATGATGATGATGGTGATGATGATGATGATGATGATGATGATGATGATGATGATGATGATGATGATGATTATGATGGTGCTGATGATGATAATGAGGATGGTCATGATGATGACGATGCTGATGATGATGCTGATGATGATACTGAGGAGGAGGAAGAGGAGGAGGAGGAGGAGGAGGAGGAGGAGGAATGGCCGACCTGTGGCAGGAATGCGACAGTTCAGGTCTGCGCTGAGCGCATGGTGGTTGCCGGCGTGGTCGGCTGGTTGGTCGGTGGGCTGTCCAGTTGGTGGTTTGATTGACGTGCAGATTGGAGGGCTGGTTTGGGGTCTCCTTTGTTGGCTGGTTGGTTGGCTTGTTGGTTGGCGGGTGGGTGTGGACTTGTTGGCGGGCTCGTTGCTTGTTTGACTGGCTGGTGGGCGGGCGGGCTGTTGGGTGGGCTGGTTGGCGGGCTGGTTGGTTATCTGGTTGACGGCGGGCTCGTCTGCTGGTAGGGATGGCGGGCTGATTGGCGGGTTGGTTGGCTGGTTGGTTGACGGGTGGGTTGGTTGGCGGGACGGTGGCTAGGCTGGTTGGCGGGCAGGTTGGTTGGTTGGTTGGCTGTTTGGTGGGCTGGCTGGTTAGCGGGCTGGTTAGCGATCTGTTTGGCGGGTTGGCCAAACACCACTCTCGGAAAGTCTTTATGCATCATCAATTGCTGATGTTCAGCAGAGTAGCGAGAGGGAAGATGGGCGACCCACTGCTGGATTCAGCCTTCACCTCTGGCACGTGGCAGCACCAGACAGACCGATACGTTCGCAAGCGTGGACGGCCAATAATAGAACGGGCTAAATATCTTCATCCGCACGTCGTTCGAGCAGCGGGCGAAGGTCAGCGCTGAAAGCATCTCACTCAAGACGAGCATCGCTGGAGAGAGCCCGTGAACGCGGCAGGAGCGCCCTAGCGGGCTTCAGCCGCGCGCGCACGTTCCTCCCCCTTCTCCCGTTTTCCTCGGTCGTCCCCCCTGGTCGTTCGTCCCTCTCTCGCTCGCTCCGCCTCGCCTCGTGTCCCCGCTCGTCCCGCCCCCCCAATATGTGAACTCATGAATCATGTTGCGCCAGCCGGCGCGCCTGTGGGCGCACGGCTTCTGTTTGTCTGTCTGTCTTGGCTGGCGGGCAGGCGCACCGGTTGGCGGGCTAGCTGGTTAAAGCCTTATCTTCGAGCAGGAGGTGGAGATGGAGCAGCAGGATGGGGCAACACGAGGAGGTTGGAGATGAGGAAGAGGCGGGGGCGGCGCTTGAGGAGAGGGGAGGCGAAGTTGGAAAATGTAGGAGAATGAGGAGGACGAGGGGGGGGGGGGAGGAGAACGGTGGAGGAGGAAAAGGAGGAAAAGGAAGTGGAGGAGGAGGCGGGGGAGGAGGAGGAGGAGGAGAGGCATCAGCCGCGTCAGGAGCATAATCAGGATGAGGATGAGAGGAGGAGGAGGAGGAGGAGGAGGAGGAGGAGGAGGAGGAGGAGGGGGAGGAGGAGGAAGAGGAGGAGGAGCAACATGAGCAGGAGGGGAAGAGGAGCAAGAGCAAGAACAAGTGGACGATGTGGAGCATTATGAGCTGGAGCACGAACAGGACGGGCGCATGGTGATGATGACGCTGATGCTGATGATGATGCTGATGATGATGCTGATGATGTTGATGATGATGATGATGATGATGATGATGATGATGATGATGATGATGATGATGATGATGATGATGATTGTGATGATGACGACGATGACGAGGACGAGGACGATGACGAGGAGGAGGAGGAGGACGGGGAGGCGGAGGAACAGGAGAGGAAGGATCAGGAAGATAATAAGGACCATGAGGAGGTGGAGGAGGAGGAGGAGGAGCATGAGCAGGAGAAAGAAGAGGATGAGGAGGAGGAGGAGGAAAGTAGGAGGAGGAGTTGGAAGAGGATGATATAGCGGACGAGTGGGAGAATGAGCAGAAAGGAAACGGTAGAAGGACGAACACATGGAGGACGAATAGGACGAGGACGACGAGGAGGAGACGGAAAACGAGGAGAAACAAAAAGGAAGAGGAGGAGGAGGAGGAATGAGAGGAGGTGGCGGAGGACGAACAGCAACAGCGGGAATTGGAGTGGAAGGAGCGGGAGGAGGAGGCGGAGGAGGAGGAGGAGGAACACCAGGGGAATGCGGAGGAGGGGGACGACAACGATGAGAAAGGATTCGGTTCCAGAACAGTGGCCCGCGCTGGGGCGAGACCGCCAGTGTAGACGACGGTGGCTAAGCAGCGATACCTTGGAGCGCGATGCTTGGCGCTGCGGCTTGGGGGCCGCCTGCAGGAGGAGGCGCCGCGGCTGGCGGGCGGTTCGGTCTCGGAGCAGGCTTTGCTGCTGTGCTGAGCGCAGCCAACGTGCCTCGCGCCCGCCCGAAGTCGCGGCCGCCGCCGCGGCCGCGCCGCGGCGGGTGCCAACATTTTGGGCAGCGACGAAGGGGGGGGGGGGGGGCGAGCAGCGAATGCGACCTGCATGAGATGACGGCGGCGGCGGTGCAGCGCGTCGCGCGGGCGCGGCACAGCCACCGCCCTCCCCCCGCAGTGGAGCTGCACAGCGTGCGAGAAGCGAGGATGGTGGGGGAGCGCCTGGACGCGCTGGCGGCTGGCGGGCTGCCGCGCCTGGGCGACATCCTGATGCAGCGGCCGACATCGATCGGGCAAGCCGCCAAGGATGGGCGCTGGCAGGTGGCCCGGCACTCCGAGGCGAGCGGCGGCCCCAACGCCGGCCCGGCGCAGCCGAGCGAGGTGCTCGACGCCGCGGGCGCTCCCACGGCCGACGCGAGGCTGGCGACGCACATGCTGGAGATTGGCAGGAAGCGGACCCCCTCGGGGTTTGGCCGAGATGGCGACCCCCGCGGGACGCGGTCGTCTCCCCCACAGCCAAGCGACGGGATGCCGTCGCACCCGGCGCCCCCCGCAGCCCCTGAGAGAAAGGGCGGGAAGCGGCGGCAGCGGAGGGCCAAGGCGCAGGCAATTGCTGGCCGCCCGCCCGCGCTGGCGTGGAACGACTGGCTGAAGCTGCGCGAGGCC